AATAAAGACATCCTCAGGCAGCTAGCATGTATAAATGTTGATGCAGAAATACATACCAATTAAAAAGTTTTCACTTTCTGTGTCTGTATTTGTTAGGCATTGTGTTGAACACTGAAATGCATTATTTTGTCCCATGCTTACACCAGGCAGGTGTCATTACTAGCCCCCTGGTATAGGTGATAAACAAGGGCAAGTGGCCACATAACCAGCACTGTGCCTGGTCACATGGCTAGTTCAGCAGTGAATGCAGAGTTCAAATCCAGGCTGTCCACCATCAGAGTCAGGGCTCACACTTACTGTAGCTTGGTTGTGTGAGAACTTCATTTCAACTGCCCTCCTGATCATCCCTACAGAAAAAGACCCTCTCAAAGTTAGGTCCTTTGGATTTCACACAGACATAGATATCATTTTGTTTTTCTGGCCGCTAGGCTGGATGTCATATATTTGAATAGTTATTCAAATTTATGTTGTCTTTATTCTCAAATTTCAACTGATCTACTAGCCTAAGATTCTGAGTTTATAAAGACCGTTGTTCCATTTCCTCTTAGAGTGTAGCAACACAGTTTTCTGCACATACTCTGAAGTCTCTGAGAAAGCAGAAATATATACAGTGTAATAAGGAAAATAAGTCACTTACCCCATCATAAACAAGAGCTTTCCAGGAATGTTCTAACTTCTTCATTAACCTAAACATTCATGGAAAAATTAAAACGAGAATGTAAAATCACTCTCATTTGGTGATTTTTCAGAAGCTTTTGTAGATTGATTTTGAAATAATAAAAGACTACTCCTCAAACTTCTTACCTATACGATTGTAGAATGTCAATAATGCCCATAAATAAAAGTAGCTTTTCTCCCCTATGGCTTTTAGCTGGAATGCCTCCCATTCTGTTGATAGAGCAAAAGAGAAAATATCTGATTACACATTATAAGAATAGAAAGTTAAAAAATCATTTCTAATAAATAGACTGAAAATAAAAATAGACCGTTTTTAAGAATTCTGGGCTATCTCCTACTCATCTTTTTTTTGTTTGTTCTTTTCTTTTTGGTTTTTGGGCATCAGTTAAGGTCATCCTGGGAATCCAGAATGATGTATTAATACTTCCCTACAAAGGAGAATAATATGATAACTGCTAACTCTGAAGAGCTGGATGGGAAGAATTCAATTTAAAACTTGTTCCTACTTTAAACTATGAGCAAGAATTTTTAGACCATTATAAAATATTTCTTTTAAAAATGCAATACCTTTTTTTCTGATCAAAAGAGTAATGTATATTTACTTTTAAAAATAAAATACAGAAAAACACAAGGGAAAAATATAATTAAACAGTTATTCCTAGGATGCAAAGATAACTACTATTAACATCTGGTACACTTTTCTAGTATATATGTATGTGTGTGTGTGTATTAGTCGAGAAGGGGTATTATTTATTACATTTTTTACTTGCTAAATGATAAACATTTCCTTATATTCAATGCTAATGTGGTTTTTAATAGCCTTATTGTATTTCACTGATACAGGATAATTTAACTGATTATTTGACATTTAGATTGATTTGCAAGAAATAACTTTTCAAAAAAGATTTAATATGTGTTAATTTTCTTTACAAAAGTGAAATATGCCCATGGTTTAGTCACTGTTGGAGAATTCTAGAAGGCAGGCATTTATGGCCGTGGAAAATTTTTTTCTTTCTTCCAGTCTCCTTGCTCAGCTAGTACGCATACCTGATGCAGTCTACCATTTCAATAACTTACTTTGGTTGCAATTGTTTCTGTTAGTCAATATGCACTTTATACATGCAAATTAATCCTGTAGTTACTATCACATCTGGCTGAGGTGAGAGACCACATCTGCCAGGGTACAAGACTAGCACAACAGAATCCCCTTAGGCAGATAAAAAGCTCTGAATTGCAAACATCATTCTCATTGTGTATTTGCTTAAAACATCTTTATTCAGGCTGGGCTCAGTGGCTCATACCTATAATCGCAGAACTTTGGGAAGCCAAGGCAGGTGGATCACATGAGGCCAAGAGTGTGAGACCAGCCTGGGCAACATGGTGAAACTCCATCTCTACTAAAAATACAAAAATTAGCCAGATGTAGTGGTGCATGTTTGTAATTCCAGTTACTTTGGAGGCTGAGGCAGGAGAATCGCTTGAACCTGGGAGGTGGAGGTTGCAGTGGACTGAGATGGCACCACTGCCCCCCAGCCTGGGTGACACAGGGAGACTCTGTCTCAAAAAAATAAAAAATAAATAATAAAACATGTTTATTCAAATTCAAAGTTTATTCTTTCCTCTTGTGGTGAATGTTTTGAATATGTAGTTAATGGGGACAAAAACATTTTCAGCCATTGTTTAAAAAAAAAAATGGAGCCATTTGAAAAAAGAAACCAAGTGGGTGAAGGAGTAATAACTGGAGGAACTGCCACTCATCTAGTTGTCTTTAAATGAATAGAAATGGAGACCAGTTTAACCCATTTTAGCACCACGTAGAAATTAGTTCCTGGAGTCCCACCCTAAGGTGAATGTGACTGTCTATAATTACCCAGTGACGTGGGCTACCACAATCAAGAGGGTGGGTGGGTGTGTGGCTGTACTTACGTGTCTGGGTTCTCTGTGATTATCCCATCTCCAGATTTCCCTGGACCCTGGATAGATTCCATGGCTGTTGAGTAGAGAACCTTCTGCATCCCAGGCCGCTTAGCATCAGGCACATTTTGTGAGGTCTCCTCCTCTTTCTCTTTGAGGGAATGGTCCAGGAAATGAATTCCCAACAGAAGGCTATAGTCCATGATCTTGAAGCTTTCCAGCACCTGAATGAGAAAAAGAACCAGGAAGCCAGTCAACCCAAAGGTCTGTTCGTCTCATCTACTCATTATCAGAGAGCTCTAGATATACAGACACACAGCTCCTGTTATTCCTCCCAGGGGGGTGGCTGAGAGATGAAGAATCAAAATAAAATCACTTGAGGTTATTATTAGGCCACATGCAGGAAGGATTATCATAATGGCTCCAAGATGGGAATTTTATGCAAATCTGAAACAAGCACATGTTTTCTCAACCCTCCATAAAAGTTTCGCTAATAGCACGGATTGAGTGCTTTCCATGTGTCAGTGTTACAAAGCTCATTTGCATTCAATCTTCTCAACAACTCTATAAGCTAGGTACTACTATTGTCTCTGTTTTACAAATGAAAAACTGGAGGCACAGAGAGACAAGGTAATCTGCTCAATATCACACAGCACATAAGTGACAGAGACCCAAGCAGTCAACTCCAGGGTCCACACTCTTAAGTAGTAAAGCAGAGAAACCAACAACCAATAGTTTCTACAAGCTTGTATCTTTCTCAGCATGAAGACACAGCTAGAATGTGTCTTTGTCTGAATTCTGTTCTCATAATCTTAAA